GGGTGGGCTGCTTAACCTACTCACGCCGGCTTGTGCCCGCCCTCACAGCCGGGCATATTTGCGGAATACACCACGCCGCCGTTGACACTGGCCATTGACCGAGCAACCCAACGTTACTACCAGCTCCCTCCGCAGGAATGTGTTAAATACTACGTGTCTACTACTACTACGCGTTAAACCCTCGAGGTTGAGTTGTCGAACTCGGAGCGCGGTGTCCCACAGTGTAAGCATCGCAGAGGTTTGAGAGTCGGAGAGAGCGAGCGAGCTGCAGAAGAGTTTGGAGCTCGCAAAAATTCGATCCTCTGGTTGAACCGTGAGTTCATCCAGGGACTTGGGTACCTAACGAGGACCGCGACGTGAACGTTGATCCATTGCTGCTGTATTCACAGTTGCTCGTGATATTGTCCAGACCATTGCACCCGGGCTTTCATTTTAGATGGCGTGAAGCGAGATGCCCAGGCCAACGCACAAGATGGTCAATTTCCACTAACGTTGCGTATAGCAAGCAGTCGAACCGAGGTCACTGGGATTGTTGGGGGGGGGGGGGGGTGCAATAAGCACTGTATGACTACACTCTTTGGTTCTTTTGGTAAAAACACGTAGGTAAAATAAATAAATAATAAATCACGACATTTCGATCGCAACAGAAGCAATCATCATCAGGTAGAAAGATACAGCAGTAGAACTGCTGAACAAGAAAGGACTGTTGCAACAAGAGGTTATATGTGGGTTTGAGGTGGGTGTCACCCAAGGGTAAGTAGGCGGGGTCAGAGATGGAAAGGAGTCCCGTCACCGTGCGCACGCACAACAGATGCTCCAAGGATTGGCATGCTAAAGTCAACACGAGACTAGATAATAAGGCGGACATACAAAATGTAAATTGCTTTAAAGTAACGAATTAACTGATTAATTGATGCCGATTTTGATACAAGCATGCATTGTCACCAGATCTGAGTATGTGTGCAAAATGTGGAATTGATTGGACAACGGGAAATGGACAACATTTGATTACAAGATTTGACCCAGACAAACAGAGGAATCAAGTTAAGTAAAACCATTGAAAAACTGTTGAATAAAACCGTTGAAAAAACAAGTTAACGCTGGACAATTACTTTGATCATCAGTAACCACGATCTATATCCACTGCCAAATGAAGGTCTCCCCAAGTCAAAAGTATCTCTCAGAGTCCTTGTCATGCAGAAATCCATCGACCACCTGCACACGGGACAATTACATCGCTGCCACCCCACGGGAGACTTCCCCTCGGACGTGTTCCCTTCTTTGTATGTATGAACAGTACAGGAGTCCACGCACAGGGACTCTTCTACATACGAACGAGTTAGGTCAATGTACAGGGACTCTTCTACTTACGAACGAGTTAGGTGAATGTACAGGGACTCTTCTACTTACGAACGAGTTAGGTCCACGCACAGGGACTCTTCTACTTACGAACGAGTTAGGTCCATGTACAGGGACTCTTCTACTTACGAACGAGTTAGGTGAATGTACAGGGACTCTTCTACTTACGAACGAGTTAGGTGAATGTACAGGGACTCTTCTACTTACGAACGAGTTAGGTCCATGTACAGGGACTCTTCTACTTACGAACGAGTTAGGTGAATGTACAGGGACTCTTCTACTTACGAACGAGTTAGGTGAGTGTACAGGGACTCTCCTACTTACGAACAAGTTAGGTCAATGTACAGGGACTCTTCTACTTACGAACGAGTTAGGTGAATGTACAGGGACTCTTCTACTTACGAACAAGTTAGGTCAATGTACAGGGACTCTTCTACTTACGAACAAGTTAGGTGAATGTACAGGGACTCTTCTACTTACGAACAAGTTAGGTCAATGTACAGGGACTCTTCTACTTACGAACGAGTTAGGTCCATGTACAGGGACTCTTCTACTTACGAACGAGTTAGGTGAATGTACAGGGACTCTTCTACTTATGAACAAGTTAGGTCAATGTACAGGGACTCTTCTACTTACAAACACGATGTCGATTTGCATGGACTCCTCTACTTACGAACACGTTAGTTCCGTGTCAGGGACTCTTCTTACGAACGAGTTAGGTCCATGTGTAGTGACTGACTCAGAGACACTAAGAGTAGGAGGCACTCTGTTTATTAAACGGCCTTAACAGTTGACACTTGGTAACTACGGTTCCCAGTCAGGACAGCTGGTCGACTGCCTGACTGGCGACGCCGAGACGGTGAAGACGGCGAAGACTCCAGCAGCACGATGGGGACCCCCCCCCCCCCCGACTCCACACGACAGCCCCGAGGTCCCCTCCCGGGGCCCCTCTTATACTGCCTCTGAACCTACTAGCGGGTTCTCGATGTGCCCCTTCAGTGACCTTTCCCCTACATCCCTCTCTGGTCTATCACATGACCTGCTGTCAGTCAGGGCTGCTGTAAGCTGCAGATCCCCTTCCCTGCCAGCAGCCAGCGCTATGCTGCTACGTGACCAATTCAATGTCACTACACTTGTGTCGTGAGTCACTTCGGAGGCACTAGAATAGAAGGCACTCACATTTATTCCAGCCATCACAGGCACAGGGGACAACTATATACTGCCTGACCAACAACGCCGAAGATGTGAAGATGAAGACGTAGCATGATGGGTTCCATTCCAGACCACAGCCCTGACTCAGTGTCGGGACCTTCCTTTTATGCCCCCAGCGTGGCCTGGCTCCGCGCTCGGCCGCGCCCCCTTCTGGAACCTACCAGAAGGTTCTGGGCTATACCCCACGTGTCCCCTCTGTCACATTTGCCCTACATCCCTTACCCCGGCCTATCACGTGCCCTGCTAGCCGACCGAGCTGCTACGTCCTCAGATGCCCATTCTCTGCCAGCAACCAGCGATACACACCTTAGTGACCCATTCTATGTCACTACACATGTACAGGGACTCCTCTACTTACGAACGAGTTAGGTTCCAGAGGTCTGTTCGTAAGGAGATTTGTTCATAAGTTCAACTTTACTCCAGTCGATTCCAAACATATGTAGTGGGTTCAATTTAGGTGCACACTTCTTGGGAGGCAACACTAATTTATTAGAACAGTAAGTATTATAACACTGTACATTACACATAGAGTGGTGACCACCGACCTACTCTAGCTAACACACACTTCTCTAACTCTCAGCTACTCTAGGCGTGACCCAGCCAGGTGGGCTACTGGCAGGTCCGCTGACTGGAGGCTTGACTCTTCTTGGCGTCTTCACGATGCATCTTCATTCTTGGCACAGGCAGCCCGAACCTCGTGAGGAGGCTGCTTATATGGGGCTCGGCGTGCCCGGGCCCCAACCCGGCCACGCCTCCCTTCGAGAACCCTCTCCACGTGCCCCCCCCCCCCCCGAGGTCCCCCTGGGCCCCCCGGCCCCCACTGGGATCCGGTTACGTGTCCAGCCGGGATCACAGCGAGTGCCACGGCCTCGTAGCACCCCCGTGGCCTCCCGAGTCCCGCACTGGCCCTTACGTCTTTCCCCCTCCAGCCGGGATGACGTCATGTTTGTATGTAGACCCACGTGGTCGTGACGCTCCCGGCATAGTGACGTCACACGTGTGCGTGGATACACAGTAGTCATGCTACAATCACTACACATGTACGGCATGTACAATAAACACGGGGAATGACTTTAAAAGTTGTATAAAGTAGAGGAGTCCCTGTATGTTGAACTTCTTTCACACCGTACATAGCCACTCCCACACTCGTTTATTACACATGACCACCATCCCTTCTAGGAATGTGCCTTTCAGGGGTCGCCCGATAATCTAAATCCAGGGTGTCCGTTGCTTGAAGACTGAGCCTGTTGACGATGCCAATCCACTGAAAAAATATATCACACACATTAAATTTGAGGAAAAAATAACAATGTTCGTATCGCTCACCTTAGAATTACATTCACCTTCGTAACAAGTACAGGACTGCACTTGTCTGAGTTCACCTCAGCATTTGGCAAACCTAACGGTAGTATTGATTTGCAGCTTTCGTGACTGCAGGAATCCATACTCTTCGGTTATTTAGGTAAAGTCACGTAGGTAGATCGAAACGTCGTGATCTATTATTTCTACTTGACTTTACCAAAAGAACAAAAGAGTAGATAAAGAGAGCTGCAAAAGTAAAGTGCTCAAGTGTGTTTATGTGCACAGATTTGATTAAGTTGAAGAGATAAAGCAATTGTCCTTCATTCAACAACTACCCCACGGTAAGTGTACCGTGTAAATTGCTTTACGCGACGCGCGTCTTCAAAGTCGGTCATCTGAGAAGTCACTCCATGCTCCTTTTCAGGAAAACCGACTCAGCGCCGAGCGCCAGATTTTACAAAGCTCCTTCACTCCGAGCCGCAACGGTCAACTGGTACTCCGCCTACTGGCCCAGCTATAAAATAAGAGGCGACTTTGGTACCACTGAGCTGTCCACACTGAACACTGCGATCGTCGTAGTGGCTTCTGTTTGCAGAACTACGGTCAGTAAGATAAATTTAGGGTTTGCCCAAAGGAAAGTCTCATCACTTCTCAGTTGCTGCTCGATCATTCTGCGGCAGCTAGAAGGAATCTCTAGCATTGCTCTCACATATGATCTGCTAGCTGGGGTTTAAAACGTTTGTTATGTTTTAGTTATAACTTTGATATTTTATACACAGGAATACTTGTTTGAAATTCAGCAGTGCCAATGACTCAGCACGAGTTAAGATGAGCGATATGGAGTAATTAATGTTATTTTCATATTTACAGAAAACAACTTGGGTAAACAGTGAACTTCATAATTGTTGAATCGTATGTGCATGCATTATTTAAATAATTGAACATCATAAAATGAATTCGTCATAATCATATGTTTTATCATTGGTAGAGCTATGGAATTATGGTGCATATGGGAGTACGCAGATAGGAGGTGGAGAATATAATTCTTGGTGCTGGCGACCAATGTCCATTTCCATTTGCCTGTTTTCTTTCCTGGACTTCATATCTCTTCCAGCACGCTGCAGACGATGGCCCTGTGGCTGAGATCCAGTTTCGTGATGCTGCTCCTGCTGCAGGGGCAACTGCCGTTGCCGGCGATGGCTGCCGCAGATGGTCACGACAACGAGCAGGGAAAGTGTCGGGTGGACTACATGGCAATGCCAGGACTACCGGGAAACGCCGGGATCCCAGGAAACCCGGGCAATTTGGGCCTGGCTGGCCCGCCTGGAAAGGACGGGCGAGAAGGTCACCAGGGCCTTCCTGGCAAGAATGGCGAGAAAGGAGACATGGGAGAACAGGGCCTGAAAGGGGACAAAGGGAGCGTGGGAGAGACCGGTAAAACCACTTCACTGTTACTGCAACATTGCTGAGTTTTACAAAGATCAGATGTTAACTCGAGTGGCTGCACTATTATAGAGAATAACCTATCGCGTTAAAGACACTGTTTTGACCAAATTATTCATCTGTTGACAAAGGCTCTGCTTTTATGAAAGCTTATCAAATTCAACATTACTTATGCATTATTTGTTCATAAATCTGGTACGATTAACGTGTGTTTTTGAATGTGTTGGATTTTTCATCAAAATACGAATCGGGCCCAAATTGCTTTTACGAAACGTATGTGCATTGTTACAATTTAAATTATGGGCCCATTTTTATAATCCAATGAAATATATATTTTATAAATACAATATGATAACATGTCTGAATAGCAACTGATATCATGAAAATATTAACATTTTCAATGTGCAGAATCATGTATAATTCCTTTACAGGGTTGGCTGGAAAATTTGGACCGATGGGTCCCGCTGGACTGAAGGGGGATTGTGGACCTCAGGGTGAAAAGGGACACAAAGGAGATGCCCCACCTGACATCCCCATATCCGCATTCACCGTGGGTTTGACTGTGCCGAACCCTCCTAGTGGATCTCCTATCAGATTCAGCAAGGTCATGTACAATGTGCAGAATCATTACGACACGCTCCCCGGCAAGTTCATTTGTCGTTTCCCGGGCGTCTATTACTTTGCTTACCATCTCGCTGGAGGATCTGGCCCCACCCAGGTCTCCTTGAGACACAATGGACAAGCAGTCCAGAATACATATTCCTCTACCACCAGCATTTACAGCATGTCAGGGGGCTCGGTGCTGCGTTTGAGAAAGGGCGATGAAGTGTGGTTGCAGACCGAAGGTGCTAACATCAAGGCTTACACAGACGTTACCACTGACAGCACTTTCTCTGGTTTCCTGATGTACCCTGACCTGCCTGAGCAGTTACATTAAATTTATCAACGAGCTCTGCTGGAAGTCTGATCGTTAACATGTAAGGTTTGTGGTGCAAAAAAGCACACAAACAGCAAACGAATAAACATACACTCTTAGACAGCACATGAGCAAACCCATACTATTTTATATCGTGTTCATTCACTCTTGCTGGCCGAGTCATCCTTGAAAAAGAGCTGCGTATCTCAATGGGTCATTTTACTCGGATAATAAACTTCTGAACTGTATAATTTTTCGTGGTTTTGCTGCATAGAACTTCGATGTGTTTTTAGCTGTGCCGCGTGCTGTGCAGCATGATGTCCGACGTTTTGGTCCATGTGCTAGGAGCTTCTTCCGGCTCCGGCCATGCAATTTTTACACGTTGTGCTGAGGACTGCTTCAAGAATCTGGATATTCACTTTTGCCATCAAGTACCAGCGAAAACTGCAATTGGCCACAAGTTCAAGGCTAAACAATATGCTTGCTGGTCATAACAAGTGGGGGCCCCCTTGCCATCCAGCCTCTTTCCAGAGGTCACTGAATCCACAAGCTGCCAGCATCAGTCTCCACTTTTGGCAACAACCATCTGGTATTATGCCTCATCCATTCTAATCCGTCTTTCACTCCATCAGTCCATCTTTTCTTTGTCGTCCCCTGCCTCTGTTTCCTTCCTCCACCCGCGTTGCTTTTGCTGGATTCCTGTTTTTGGTGACCTTCCTCTGGCATGGTCAAACCGTAGCAGACTGTATTCCTTATTTCTTCAAATGCAAATATACGCACCAACTGTAATCACATATGTGCAAACAAATGCAGGTGAATATCCAATCCACAGGTAACTTTTTAAAATATTTGTTTATGCCGAATAGAGGAAAATTGGATTCGTTTATAATTTCAAGCGTTATATATATATGTTGCACGATGCAATACTCAAACTCTGATAATCATTCATGTCTCACTATATACAATATTACAGCTGGGTATATATTAACACAGGTATAACATGTTCATGAGTCTATAAATGCATACCGGTGGCCAAATACGTGAATTCCCAATATCAAATAAAATGGACGGTAAGCAAATTATTTCCACACAATGTCACGTGTAATGCTTTGAGATGGTACGTGATATGGTGACAAAAAAATTCGCATGTGAATAAAAATTGTAATATTGTATGATGATTTAAAATGAATCGGAATGATTGTACTTCTTCATTGAAAATAATCCATGTTAACAGTAATTGTCGGCGTATGACAGCAATGTTTGTGGGGAATGATTTCATATAATAAACAGAAAAAATAAAGCATTACAGCGAATAATGAGTGGTGTTCACTGCATGTCATGTTTATACATTTAAGACACTTCTTCAATCAATTTTGATTTGAAGCTTTCGTGACTGCATGGATCCATACTCGTTGGTTCTTTCGGTAAAGTCACGTAGGTAGAAAAATAATCATAAAAAAATGTTCCTACCTACGTGACTTTACCGAAAGAACCAAAAAGTATGCTTCAATAAATTTTACCAATATACAATAATAATGACTATCCCAATGCCTCCCACCCTCATACACCATCATCATATTAATCGTCTCCTCTGAAGCGGTTTAACACTACAGTATCTGTACATTTCAGGATTTGTAATATTTGCTACGGCTGGTCGCACTCGTTACACACAAAGTGCTTGCCAGAAATGAACCACGATACAACCTTTCCGATCTCACCAAAGGGCATCAACCATCACGCGAACTCCGCTCATCCTCGCAACGGCTTTGGCTAACCATCGCACAAAGACGGTCATTGCATCTGTCGCCGTCTGGAGCGCTTCTGTGGCCGTCTGGAGCGCTTCTGTGCCGTCTGGAGCGCTTCTGTGGCCGTCTGGAACGCTCTTCCTTCCGACATTAGGAAGCCACTGGAGCTGTGCACTTTTACATCTAAATTGAAAACTAATTTCTTTAGAATTTTTTTTTGCGTTTAATTTGTTGTCCTAACCCCGCACCTCCAATTAGCACGGTTGGCTGTGGTAAGTACACCAACTCAGTGTATAGATAATTCGCGTGTGTCCGTACGTCTGTTATGCTCTTGATCTCCCAAACGGTACGTGGGAAATAACATCCATGAAACCAAAATATTCTCTTGCCCAAGACATTCCTGGGAAATTGTGTAAAAGGTGTGCGAATATACATCGCAAATAAATGTAACATTGCTTCATTCTTTTTTCAATTAACTTGTCGCAACAAACAAATGTCTCTTCGTTAAGCTGGACTCGCACCACCCCCAGGCCACGGCTCACATCGTTGGAAAGCCTTGATCCAGCAGTGGATTGACAGCATGACATTAAATATTGTGATATAGATACGGTGCTACAACATTTGCAATTGGCCAGCTCGTGATTTCGGTATAAGATGAAGTTACTCGCGAGCGCAACACGGGTCAACTGCATGCGTTTGTAATGCTTGTGCGTTTGTAATGCTTGTGCGGTGTGAATGTGGCTACACACCCAACGAGGCCACGGGGGTTAGTTGTAAGTTCAACTACAAAGATGCCTCTATGAACAAAAGGCGTTCACTTAACAAAGGGCACCAAACCAGCCACAACCAGTGGTGACCTGATGGCAGATGCGCTGGAGCATACTTCTGCACCATCTTCAAAGCATTACCATTCAACATCATGACTTAGTAATCATCATAAACCAATCAACTTCTCTGTCAACTCACCAATCGCCTTAAAGCTTCATCATACATCTTTCTTTTTCATTAATATCAAGTCTCCGATTAGCTATGTACAATGCGAAAGAAGTGCAACATATATATGCATATGTACGTTGAACTTCTTTCACACCGTACGTAACCAACTGCGGTAATCGGAGGTGCGGGCGGAGGACAACAAACTAAACACACGAAGCAGTTCTCAAGGAATTCGTTTTCAATCTAGATGATTTAAAAGTGCATAGCTCCAGTGACTTCCTAGTATTGGAAGAAGAGCGTTCCAGACGGCCGCAGCAGCGCATCTGGAATTAGGACTTTTTTTAGATAGCGGGGGGGGGGGGGGGGTTTGACTCACTCAATACGAAGAAGCGGTGGAAGTTGTATCATTGTCAGGTGAGCAACACAGCACACGCGCAAGACAGCGAATAGACACCACGTTAATACTTGTTTCATAAAGAGCAATATATCTCATAAACTCATTTCGTACTAAATGTTGTCGATAATTGAGGATGTATTAAAAAGTGTGTTAAATATATTGCCGGAAATCAACCACGTAACTAATCACACACAGCAGCGCGTAGCATGAGATCGCACACACTACCCCGCCACAATGGAACATACTACCACAATTTAAACCATTAGTTTGTTTACCAGGTAAGGCCCACGGAGCAACAAAGCTTCTTATTGCGTGTGAATGTATCACAAACACATCCACTCTGCCACGCATGTTTCTGAATGAGGAGGGGGAAACAGGAGGATAACATGCACACTGCAAATAGACATCACGCGTGGAAGTTGGGATCGAACCCACGACCACCTGTATACCAGGCGAGGGAGTTAACATCTCGACGTGACTTTACCGAAAGAACCAAAGAGTATGTCCACATACCACTTCGAACCAAGAATAATGCCGCGAGAGGGCACAATGGATAATAAGGCAATGAGGTGAAAACCATGTACGTCCGGTCACTGTTGTCTTCATACCACAGTATGCATTCATTTATTCTGCGCGCGCGTACTGATGAAGCTGTGCTTGGCTGCCAGATGTCCCCGAGGTTGAGCTGCGGGAGTCGGAGTGTGGCGTCCTACGGCGTGAGAACCGCAGCGGTTTGAGAGGACGAGACAGAGAGAGAGAGCTGCAGGTGGCGGTGAGGCCCGGAATGCGAGGAGAGTTTGGAGCTCGCAAAATTAGATCCTCTGGTTGAACCGTGAGTTCATCCGGGGACTTGGGTACCTAACGAGGCCCGCGACGTGAACGTTGATCCATTGCTGCTGTATTCACAGTCACTCGTGATATTGGCCAGACCATTGCACCCAGGCGTTCATTTTAGGTGGCGTGAAGCGAGATGCCCAGGCCAACGCACAAGATGCTCCATATTCTTGGTTCTTTCGGTAAAGTCACGTAGAAGGGAAATAATAAAATAATAAAAATAAAACATAGAGCGCTGTCTTTCCGACAGCTCTGTGCTTCACCTGAGGACGGCTGCTTGTGTTGTGGCCGAAACGTCGTGAGAATTTATTTTATTATGTTTCATTTTATTATTTTATTATTTCCCTTCTACGTGACTTTACCGAAAGAACCAAGAATATGAATCCCTGCAGTCACGAAGGCTTTAAATAGAAAAAAAAGATGATCCATTTCTACTTATGTTGCGCATAGCAAGCAGTCGAACCGAGGTCACTGGGATTGGAGGACAATACAACAACCACGTTACGATTCCTCGTGTAGCCTACGTAGACTGTTGAGGCAAGTATTGTTTGCGAGAACCTCGAGAGTCAACACGGGACGACAAGAAGGCCCGCCTTTGTCTCCCCAGTGCTGCTTTTTGCACCACCATTGAGTAGAGACAAAGGCAGCACTGCTTTTTGCACCACCGGGGGTACCCGTGCGTGCACATTCGTGAGCTGGTGCTCTTCTTACGAAACTGGCAAGAGATGAATTTCTGTTCCCTGATATTTCTGCTGAAATATGGACAAAAGACCAAGTGAAAAATAACCCAAATGCTCATTGTGGAACTGTGGTCATCCCGTTTGGCCTTACATTTGGGATGTGCATAACGGAAGATATAATAACAAGTCATTGGGCACGAACACTTTTGACAGCGGTTCCTTATAGAGAAGAGTACCTAAATGAGACAGAAATAATGCCAAAAGCGGTAGCGTGCATGAACGATATGACTGCTTGACGCGTGACAAAAAACAAGTTTTTCGAGGATGTTGCGCAACTATCACGTGTTTTCATGTCGGCAAAATATTAGATTCTGGGCATGTAAGGTCACCAATAAATAGACATTGGGGGAAAAAACGATGATTCGACTC